GTGTGTTAGTATTAAAAGTATTTTTCAAAAATCAACTTGTAACATTTAAAATTTTCTGCAGAGTACATTTAAAAATTTCTTTGATTTTTCTAATCTTTTCTTTATTATTCCCTTCTTATACTTTTTTTGGTTTTAAAGTATTGCTGTTTTTTAAACTTTTTATAATGGAAGCTTAGATAATTGATTATCAGATGTATTTGCCTATATATGTGTTTCTATTTTTGAATGGCTGTAGTTATAACAAATATTGATTGTTATGTATTATTATAATTTAGTTTAAAATACTATAACTGTGATAAGAGTACATATGTATATCATATAAATTCCTTTGAAATTTGTTGAGACTTGCTTTATGAACCAGAAAATGATCAATTTTGATAAATGTACTGTGTTCATTTGAAAGGAATACATATACACACATATAGTTCTATAAATATCAAGTGTTTCATATTAAAATGAAGTAGCCTTTTAAATTATATTTTCAAATTATCTTAATTATTTCTGAATATTTTCTTGGTTTTTCTCTGCTTGTGCTTTTGGTATGTTGAAATTTCTCACTGTAATTCTAAATTTGTCTCTATCTTCTGTTTTGTCAAATTTTACCTATGTATTTTGGAGATTCATTAATAGAGGTACATTTCTCTAAGATTTTTATATCTTCTTGATGGAATTACCCTGTTTTTTGTTTTGTTTTCATCATGAGCAATTTACAGTGATATTTCTTGATTTTAAGCCTACCTTGTCTGATATAAACATAGCTACGTTAGATTTCTTTTTCAGAGTGCTTTCCTGGTATAATTTTTTTCCTCTTTTACTGTTTAGTCTTCCTGTGCTCTTAAATGTAATGTTGTCTTTATAGGCAATATATAGTTAATTTTTTCATCCAGAATAAAAATCTTTGTCTTCATTTGTCATATTTAGTCCATTTGTATTTAACATATTTACTGACATCCTTGCATTTAAAATCTACATTTTAGGGGTGGATGTGTGTCAGTCAGTTAAGTGTCTGACTCTTGATCTCAACTCAGATCGTGATCTCAAGGTCATGAGTTGAATTCAAGTCCTGTGCTGGGCTCTGTACTGGGTGTGAAGCCTACTTAAAAAAATGTATGTACATATTTGAAATTTTGTTTGCTATCTTTTCTTGCCTTTCATGTAAGTGGAAGGGAACCAGATGATTTAGAGGCATTGTCAGTTTATTTACAAATAGACATGTTCAGAAGGTCAAAAACTGACACTTTGTTGAAATATTACAGGTAACATGAGGAAAGAATTGTTTATGAAATACACAGAGAAGATATTGGTGAAAATAGTCAACGGAATAGTTACAGAAGATCAAAAACTATATGATTATTATTTGAGATTGTAAACTTAGTGAAAGCAAAGACTATATGTTTGATTTATCAGCTGTTCTATTTTACAAACATAACATGATACTTTTTGAATGAATAACTAATTCAGTAGATGGATAAATGTGTTGACTGTGGCTATGGTATATTACAAGGACAGAACAATGGAGTCAGAAGTCTTTATTTCCAGGTCTTGCCCTAGTGCTTTAAAGCATGAACTTAACAAAGCACTAAACATTTCCAAGTTTCAATTACTCATCATGGGGTCATGGTGATACTTTAATAATATAAAGGGTGTCAAATCATTTTGAAACTGTATGGTTTTAGACACAAATGGTGTCTTGTTATTAGAAACCATATGTGGCAGCAATTTTATGACATGTTATTATTTATGAAAACTTATTTATTAGTGTTATAGAATTAAAACAGATTTTCCGTTGAATGTTGAAATTTGTTTACATTAATGTTTATTTTTTCAACCAGGGATTTTTAAAGGGCAAAAAACAGTGTTTCTTTTTCACTTTTTGTTTTTTAAGGTTAGTAATTTTTTAAGCATTATAACTTATAACGTGCTTTCAATTTATATTATCTCTGTATTCTTCCAATCATCTATGTTATGTAGAGAAATGGTTAGTCCAGTGATGAGAGTCATTTTGCTGGAATTCAAATCCCAGCTCTGACTCTTACTTACTTACATGCTATATAACTTTGGGTAAGTTATTTTATATCTTTGTCCCTTGCTCTTCTCATATGTAAAAGGGGGATAGTAATGGTTTTTACCTCACAGGTGTTGTTGTGAGAATTCAATAGGTTAGTACACCTAGCATTTTGGACAGTATGTGGCATGTAGAAATGTTCAGAAAATGTTTTCAATTGAAAATTAATATTCATGTTAATTACCAAGAGGTAAGTATTTGTATTTCTATTAATATAACCCTTACTTTATAGTTGAGAAACAGTGGTTGGAACAAGTTAACTAAATTTTCCAAGTTCATTTAGTAAGTGGCAGAGCTAAAACTTGAGCCTAGATCTTCTGATTGCAAGTTCAGTGCAATCATGTAATAAGTATTCTGCCCCCTACAACATAGGGTTTAGTATATATTTTTGGATGATAATAGTTGAAATAACAATTTAACTGAGGAATCTCCTTGGGAATTCTGAAGACAATTAAAACTACAAAAATTAAAATAAAAGTTTTTGGTTTTATTTAATGTTTGTTCTTTCTTATCAGTGCATGTTTTGTTTTGTTTTGTTTTCCATATATGTATTCTTAAGTGGAGGCAACTGATTGTTTTGGTTGTGAAAGGAGGACTAAGTCTGGATTCTCAGGCCAAATTTTAATGAGAGCAGAGGAAATTACCCTAAGGTTAATTGATAAGGTTTTGAGGGGAGGATTTTCTTATTATCTGGGATCGCTGCCTGATTAATCCTAGATCCAGGCAGCCAAAGAATGGTACAGCTGAAAGGAACCTTCAAGGTTAGGTAACTCAATATTCTCATTTAGTAGATGAAGCCTATAGAAGGTAAGTAATTTACCTGTTGTTGGACAGTCAATTAAGCTAGAATTCAGATCTGCTGATTCCAAGGCTGGTATGCCATCTGTGACAACACAACTGGTGCTCAGTAAAATAAGTAATGTGCCAGTAGAACTAGTAAAAGAATTAATTAAAAACTGTGGTATTAAGGTTAAAGTTTAATTCTGAGTATTCTTTTGGAGAAAGACACACTAGAGCTTATTTTAAGGTGGGATATTGCTGTCCTCTTCAGGTGCAATACAATACTGATTTCTTAATTTCCTTATTGCTGTCTATAGTCATGTTTACTTTTCTTCAGCTGTTGATTATCTGGTTTGGGAATTCACCAGATTCTTTGCTTTTATTTTTTATCCCATCCCACTGTGAAATTTATGGACAATTCATTGCTCATTAGGATGGAAGTCAAAGAGAAGAGACATAATGAATGGAAGTCACACCTAAGCTTATACATTTTCTCTTGTTCTTTTTTTTTAAATTGAAGTATAATTAACATACAGTGTTATATTAGTTTTTTGTGTACAGTGTAATGATTCAGCAATTCTATATATTAGTGCTCATCAAGATAAATATACTTTTTTAACTTTAGAGAGAGAGAGAGAGAGAGAGCAGGGAATAGGGGCAGAAAGAGAGTGAATCTTAAGCAGGCTCCATGCTCAGTGAACAGCCTGATGCGGGACTCAATCCCATGACCCTGGGGTCATGACCTGAGCCAAAATCAAGAGTTGGATGCTCAACTGACTGAGCCACCCAGGCCCCGCAAGATAAATATATTCTTGATCACCTTTATATACTTCATCCCTCCCTCATCAACCTCCCCTCTGGCAACCTACATTTTTGATATAAGTGTTCTGTTATTGGAGAAAATGGAAATTAATTTTATGACTGTTTGTGAATTTACCGTTACTATACTCGTGGGGGAACAACTTATAATTTTTGTTTAAAATCTTACTCTACATATCCTTTTACATGTTTTTTTAAATTTTCTAACTTGTTTTATTTTTTATTTTTTTAAATTTACATCCAAATTAGTTAGCATATAGTGCAACAAGGATTTCAGGAGTAGATTCCTTAGTGGCCCTTACCCATTTAGCCTATCCCCCCTCCCACATCCCCTCCCGTAACCCACAGTGTGTTCTCCATATTTATGAATCTCTTATGTTTTGTCCCCCTCCCTGTTTTTATATTATTTTTGTTTCCCTTCCTTTATGTTCATTTGTTTTATCTCTTAAGGTCCTCATATGAGTTAAGTCATATGATTTTTGTCTTTCCCTGACTAATTTCACTTAGCATAATACCTTCCAGTTCCATCCACATAGTTGCAAATGGCAAGATTTCATTCTTTTTGATTGCCGAGTAATACTCCATTGTACATAAATACCACATCTTCTTTATCCATCCATCCGTAGATGGATATTTGGGCTCTTTCCATACTTTGGCTATTGTTGATAGCGCTGTTATAAACATGGGGGTGCATGTGTCCCTTCAAAACAGCACACTTGTATCCCTTGGATAAGTGCCTAGTAGTGCAATTTCTGGGTTGTAGGGTAGTTCTATTTCGAGTTTTTTGAGGAACATCCATACTGTGTTCCAGAGTGGCTGTACCAGCTTGCATTCCCAACCTTTAACGTGTTCTGATACAAGTTTGGAAATTACCCAAAGTAGTACAAACAGTATAGTATTGTTGTGAGAATTAAATAGGATCAAGTATACTAGAGGTGATTTATATAAAGCTGAATATGAAATATATAAATTATTATTGTCCTTTTTTCTAAATAGGAAACTGAAGCTTGGTTGTGATTCTTACTTGGTTTTTTGGGGCTTGCCACATGTTCCATGGAACATCCCAATATGACAATATTTCTTATGTAACACAAATAGATCTGCTGGATGATAAGGACTGGAAGAGCTGCTTGAACCACAGCCTGGACTAGCTGGAAGGTTCTTCTTATCCTGGGCTGTATTCAGAATTGATAGCCTTGTAGATTGTGAATACTGAAACTTACAAGTACTGAATGATGACAAATATTGCTTTCAGACCTCATAATATTTAATTTTATGTGCTATTGAGTTGCATGAACTTCTATTAAAACACAGTTCTTTCGATTTTTATTACCAGGTAACCTTGGACAGGTGGACCAGGTCTCTGAGTTTGAGTATGACTTGTTCATTAGGCCGGATACCTGTAATCCACGCTTCCGAGTCTGGTTCAACTTTACTGTTGAAAACGTGAAAGAATCACAGGTGAGGGAAATATTGGATATCTTCAGTGTGGTGTTCATAAGAAGATTATGCTTTTGTTTTACTTTAGAAATACCAAAATAATAACTGAATTAGGAATGTATTCTTGTATATCTATAGCAATGATACAGTTTTAAGCTATATACAGAAATAAGTATAATATGCTGGTTCTTGTTATCTGGTGGTTATTAAATAATACAAATAGGTTATATGGGAACAAAAAGGGTTCTTTATGGATTGAAGAATTAGCATGATGTGCTGGGTTTCCTTGAAGGTTAAGGAACCACTGGAAGAGACTTGCTATAATGTTTATTATAGAGTGCTGTTCTCTATATTATTTCTTCTTTGTAAAGATCTGTAAGGTATTTCTCACAGGCCTCAGTTTCAGAAAAATCTTTTCTTCTCTTGTACAAGAAGGTGTTTATATCTTTTTAAAAAACTTTTTTAATGTTTATTTATTTTTGAGAGAGAGAGAGATAGAGAACAAGCAGGGGAGGGGAAGAGAGAGAGGGAGACGGAATCCCAAACAGGCTCCATGCCGTTAGCACAGAGCCCCGTGTAGGGCTTGAACCCATGAATCATGAGATCATGACCTGAGCCGAAACCAAGAGTTGGATGCTTAACCAACTGAGCCACCCAGGCACCCCAGAAGGTGTTTATGTTTTAATATGATTCTTGCAACTTATCCTATTTTCCCTTCTTTGTTGGAAAACTCAGAACCATTTTTATAGCCCTCTCTAATGATTCTTGAAAACTTTTTTGCTTGTGTTTCTATGTACTAATTTTTCTTTCATTCTGATCATATTAATCTGTATTTGACCATAATTTCTTCATCTATATTTTCTAACAGTGTATGTTTTTTATAATCCTGTTCAAATATTTTGAGTAAGAGAGCATTGATGAAAATAAAACTAAATGCATATGCCTTGAAAAAACATCTAATCCTAAGAAATCATTTATCATTCTATTGTATTGAGGCAGCTAATCATGGAAGACTGCACAAACTTTGTACATATAGTGGCATAATTCTTTTAAGCACATGAAAGCATAGCACTACAACCTAATATCTTCCTTCTTCCTTCAGGGTCATCTTTTTCTAGAATACTTGGGAAAAAAGGAGGGTTGGTTTAACTTCCCCTCCCAAGTCAATCTATCCTGTTTGCTCTTTCAACTGGTTGCTTGCTCCTTTCCATTTTCTCAACTGCAATTAGATTCGTATGTCAGATAGTGGTCAGTGTCTGGAATTTAGGGACTATCACTGGCATGCTGACTTCAGTGGAAAAGGGGTAGAAGGAACAGTCCTTTCAGTCTGCTGTCGATTCTCTTAATTCTCTACAACATGACTGGCACATGACTATGTAATGACAGGTGTATATAATGTTTAATGAAGTGTAAGGACTAACTGGAAGGAATTAAATAGATGGGAGAGTTCTGTATGTTGTTGGCTAAACATGGTTAAGACAAGTGGAAAAAATATTAAACCCTACACTGATAGGGACATACTTAAGTTCCTAGTTTTGTGTTTGGTTTTACTTACTCTTCCATGAGAGAATTCCTTTTCAGCTTTTCATAGTAAGAATAACAATATTCTCCCCTTCATCCACCTTAGGGTTACCATATTTTACCTGACCAGGGTTTATCTGGTGACAGGATTATTTTCTTGTTCCAACATGATAATTAGTAATTGTCAAAATGCATTTTCCAAGTCTGTATAACTCAGTCTTGAGAGTACATCTCACAGCAGGAATCTTTAGCTTCATCTACAAGACTAAGGCTTGGCAATCCAAGTTTGGGTCCCTATCAAGATCTCTCTGCTGCCATGAGGTAGACACACAACCTCTCATTCTTCTGTTGGTGTTTCTGTCTCATATCAGCAACTTACGGTTGTAATGTACATCATTGAAAAACAAACAATAATTCTGAGGAAATATAATCAATTCATTATGAAGGAAGGGAAACATTTTCTTAAAAGTGATGGAATCTGCCAGGATTTCTAATTTCCCAAAGGGGTTTACTGTTTTCCTCTTTATGCACAGCATATGCACATCCTTCAGCTTGCATATTGCATCCAGGAATCCACTAACTCCTAAGAAATGAGACTTACTACTTTTCAAACAATAGAATCCTCTATCCTAATTGTATCTTCGCTAAATAGAGACTTATGGATAGCTCTGAAATTATTATGTTTCTTTAACATTGGGCCACATTAAATTCTTATCCCAATTTTCTTGCACTTTAGTCTCTGTATAGAGAATATTCTTACCTAGCTTCTGTGGTCAGGAGGAGGGGTAGGGAGAGGGTTGACTACACAGGGAAAATGTGTTTCATGTGTTGTGCTACCTGAGATAGTTTTTTGAACAGATTGCTCATAAATTTCAGTTTCTTGTTCATTGCTCTTTTAGTTGCTTACAGGTATGTTCTTATCTCTTCGAGAGTGTTATAATTTTTATACTATATTTTAAAGTCATACAGCTTCTTTTGCGTTCTTATCTATCAGTTAAGCAAGTAACATGAATGTGTTCTAAAGGATTATTGTAATAAAAGAGTTGGTGCTGTTTTTATGAATGCTTATTTTTAATGTTGGAAGAAACAATATTTACTCTGACTCTCTGGGTTTCTATCTTCATATCCAGTGCTGTTCTACCCTTGATACAATTAGAAATCATGAACTTGTTTATCTGGTTTCCTGGAGTGTGATGCTTTATTAGCCTGTTTCTTTGCACCATTGCTTCATCAACTGTAGTCACATTATATAGTTATGGAAATCTGTTTCAAGATGGCATAAAGATCTGCTGGAAAGATACAATATATATCTCTAGCTCACAGGATATTTGTTTTCATGGTTGTCTACATGAAAGAGAATGGTTTTACTATTAGGTTTGACTTGTGAGGTCTGTTTTTATAATGTCTCTTCCTACAATCTTTTCCATCTCTCTAATTTCCGTTAAAATGAGACCTGCATGAATGTAATCTAGTCAGGAACCTTATTTAAGGTTTGGTGCTAGCAAGCAAAAGAAATATCAGGCCACAAAGGCTGAGTCCATTAAGTGAATGTTAAAAATTATGGCATCAAATATACTGTACAAATGGATCTAGCTTTTGTGTTATTTTCCCTGACATTTGTAAGAAATGACAAAAGCTTGGAACATATGGTGCTGTTTTCCAGGGCTGGTATATTAACCCCCCAAAGTAGTTGTTAAATAGTACATTTGTAAGAGTCTATGAAAACTACACATCATAATACCTTTATCAAAAGGTAATTTTCTCTCTGAAAAACCTGTATTAAATATTATGTGGATATTCATCACATGTGTGATGTGAAAACAAATCTTCCTTTTTAAATACTTACGGTAAAATTCAGCCAATAAGAGTGGAAAATGATAGGTCTTGACTTTTAAATTGTATTCTTTCCTTATATTGTTTTTTATCTCTTTGAATTAATTTTTCCCCTTTTTGATTAAAGTAGCTGAAGTTCAATATGGTAAATATGGAAAATACAGACAATTATTAGAAGCAGAGAAAAAGTGCACACACACATACACAATCTTATACTACCTAGAAGCAATCATTATTAACTTTTGGCATATTTACTTCTAGGCTTATTTATTTCCTACTTTGATTTTTGAAGCATAAGTAATTTTTTTTCCAAATACACATTTTTATGTTTTGCTTTTAAGGAAATTAAATATTTTCACAAGTAATTTTCTATCACTAAAAACTTTGTGGACATGTCTGTACAATAGCTTTTTACTATTGGAGTATTTCCTTACTCTTGGGCATAAAGATTATTTTCCATTATCTGTTGTTATAAATAACACTGTAGTGAACATCTCCATGCATGAAATGTTACACATATTTCATTTTGCTTACTTAGAATAAATTCCTATGAGGGGGATTGATAGACAAATGATACGAGTATTTTGAAACTCTTGATACATATTTCTGTATTGGTACCAGAAAATGTATATTTTGATGTCCAACAGCAAGCAGTCAATGAGATGCTTTTCCTTGAATTTCTTGCTTTGAATTGTTTCATGAACTCAGTATTTCATATATAGAATAAATTATTTCCTTTTCATCATTTACTTTGAAATTTTACACAAATAAATGGGATATAATGCAGTGTTTCAGGCCTTTAGTCATAAAGAAATTAATTGCACTCTAGCAACAATATGGAACAGCAAAACAATTCTATTTATTGTTTTGGGTATTTTTCTCATTTCATCAATCCTTCTTAGTCTGGGTGTGCCAAATGATTGTCCTCTGAGGTATGTAATGGAAGATTTAAAAAAAGAAGTGTTTTGGGGCGCCTGAGTGTCTTAGTCAGTTAAGCGTCTGACTTCGGCTCAGGTCATGATCTCACGGTGAGTTCCAGCCCCACGTCAGGCTCGGGGCTGACAGCTCAGAGCCTGGAGCCCACTGCAGATTCTGTGTCTCCCTCTGTCTGCCCCTCAGCTGCTTGTGCTCTGTCTCTCACATTGTCTCAAAAATAAATAAATATTAAAAAAATTTTTTAAAAAGTTTTTTTTAAACAATGAAGTATTTGTTACATTACTATAAGCAATAATGTACCTTAAACAGACACACACACACACACACACACACATACACACACATACACACACATACACACACACACATGTTTGTATATGACATATCTGAATTGGACTTCAAAAATCCAGGACTTTGCTGCTGCTTTATTTGCCATCTTGGAGATTTTAGGTTCAGTGAAACTTCATCCTGTCCAAAATCAATGGTGCACAGCATATTATAGTAGAAAAGCAGAGACAATGGATTTAAACACATTTGGGTTTAAATCCTGGCTCTGATATTTATGATCTGTTTTACATTTAATCAATTATTATCTGGGTGCCTCAATTTTCCATGTGTAACCAAATACTACTACCTCATGTCAGTGTTGTGAATATTATATGAGACAGTGTTGGTAGATAGATAATAGGAGCTCAATACTTGTTGTCTATTGTTTTTATTAAAACACTAGA